AGGCGGACACGGGACACGGAGGAGAGCGCGAGTTAATGGAGCTCAATTGGCATTTTTAACAACCCCCCCCCCCAAAAAAAGCGTTGGCAAACGCTGTGCGAAGCCGCGGCGCGCTCCCATCCACGCCAGGGGTGAGTGTGGAGCTGCCCGGCTGGAATGCAGAGCCTGTCCTGCCACCGCCGCCGCGGGAGAGTGGATTTAAGGTCTGCGCTGCCCACAGGGTCCAGCTCCGTCCCCGCGGGGAGCAGCGCGCCGGCTCAGCCTGGAGCCGGGGTCAGCGCTGCGCTGCTCGGCTTTCGCCACCATAAAATGCCACTTGATATATCGGAGGGAGAAAAATTGTTCCTCGGGCGACTGTTACGCCGGGGATTTACAAGGCTTCGGTAAAATGAGTTTTTTTCTGGAGGCACGGCTAAAGTACTTGAAAGGTAACAACTTCTACGGGGGCACACTGCGGTGGTGATGATTTATTTTATAAGGCGGCTCCAGCTTCTACCGCTCCGCTTAGCGTTGAGGTGGAAATAAATATTAGGGGACTGGTTCTGCGGGCGGCCGCTCGCAGGGCTGGCTGCGGCGAGGAATGCACTCTGGGTGCACGTTTTTTGGGGGTGACCTCCACAAGCCGTCCCCAAACAAAGGTGAGGCGTGCGGGACCGGCCGGTCCCTGCCCCACGCCACCCCAGTGCCGCGGGGAGCGGGGTCCGCCGGGGGACCCGACGCCTCGGGGTGCACCGCCGCAGGAGGAGTTTCCAACTCAGCGGTCCTTGAGGAATTAATAATAAGGCTCATTTCCTCCTCTCAAAATCTATTTTAATTAGTAATGAGCAACATTAAAAGCACTTTCTGTTTTTAAGTCATTAATGGTTTGAGTCTTAACACTGGCCAGTAAATGATGGTTACAGTTTGATGTGTTGTGGTAAGTGTAAAATGATTACAATACATTAATCTGATGAACGCTGCCTTCATCGCAGCGTTATTAGCATGAATTATGATGTTCTGCTCAGGTCTCCAGCCGGCGCCGTGTACCACCTCGTTATTACACAGGCTGACGGCCCAGCGAACGTGAAGGATCCTGACAAATTGATCTGTGAACATACACTGATACGAGCAAATAATAACCGGGATTAAAGCAAGAGTGCTTATGCCACTTTTTTTCTTTCCCATAAAAAATACTACTTGGTGGAGCAAATCAATTGAGGGAACAATTTCAGGTAATCTTGGGTGTGTGTGGGTAGATGAAGAGTAAATAGAAAACCCCTTTATCCACTAGTATTTAGGTATAAACCTGTTTTTATATAATTTAAAGCCTCCAAATGTTTTCCACAGTTCCCAGCCCCTCGACTAACTGTAATTCTAATTTCATACACCGATTTTGAAAGTAAAACATGTGACGTTGATCAGGCAGCGCCGGGCAAAAGGCAGAGAAATAAAATCTGTCACATCCATTACATTTGTCCGTACAGACTCAGAGCTCTAGAGCCAACCCCGTGCCATTTAATGGGGCTAACTTCCGTTTTTCATTGACTGACTTCTCTAATCTACTCTATTCTCGGTCTAAGAATACTTGTTTGCAAAGATGAATATGCCAAAGGCCAAAAAAACAATAAAAAAATTTAAACATTTAATTAGCTGGAGCTTAGTTCAAAGGGTAGGAAACTGGCAGCGATCCAAGGATGCATTACTCAGGTAATGTCTTTAATTTAATTTGCTTAGGTTTAATTTTTTTTTTTTTTTAATCTTGATAATTGCTCTATGGTTACTAGTTACAATGTTATCTTTTAGCTGTAATATTTGGTATAGCACTTAATTAAGAATGATGGTTTCTGTGTAAGAAAGCAGTGGGGCTCATCTATTTTTAGACCGGCGCGTTGGTAGCAGATCTGTAATCCCCGTCGAGATGCTGTCAGCTGGCACTGGGGCCCTTCCCCGCAGGTTTCTGGGATCGCTGGGTTTTCTGCGGGGTTTTTTGGCTCTCCGAATTATTGCCACCGAGTGTCGTGAATATGAAAATGTGACTTTTCGGGGGTTTAGCTCCCGATCTGTCTTCCAGTTTCCAACCCGTGAGATTGATTTGAATAACATAAATCACAGAAAGGAATGATTAAAGGCCAAGGAAAGACGAAATGAAGATAAAAAGTTGTTCACTTAAAGTAAATATAGGGGAGATGGTAGTTTAGCACAAAGTACAAATGGTATATACTGTAATACCTCCAAGTGAGATGGCAACCAACCATGTGTAACGTTTCAATGGTATCCATTTGTAAAAGCCGTTGCAATCAAAGGTCCCTAAAATTGTACAATTGTTAAGTTCATCAGTGCTCTATACATGGGAACAGATGATTATTAATTTTGGCAAGAAATTATCAAAGGACTTGAAAGACTGTGTTGCCAGCATGAATAGGTATTTCCGAGAGCTCTTCTGGTCAGCGGGGACTCGGTGCGCTGGACCCTAGGGTTACCTTTCCGAGACCGTAATCTTCTCATTCCCCCAGTTGCAAAAATAAGCTTTGGGGTTTCCCTTCTTTGTTTTTAAACCAGGGTTAGTAAATGGAGAGTGTTAAGTAAATATATACGTAAAAAAAGCTCTGGGATTCTTTGCAGTTATTGGGGGAAATTAAGAGGCTGCCAATCTGCAAGTCAAATCCAAAATCGTTCTCTGGAGAAGCGTCAGTGCAGACAAATCCGGATCCCCAGGCTCATACCTCCCCCCCTATTACTTGAAAAATCGGGATGACGCTGAGGCCAAAGTGCCCAAGTTTTCAAGAACAAACAGGTCTTTTTCTTTAGGTGAAAAATGGAAATAAGAGGTGTTGGAAGTGGTGAGAGATGGCAGTTTATATTGCGGTAGCTCTTAGCAGAGCAATAATATTCTGCGTTTGGTACTAGAATTGATCCGAAGGGACTGTCAAGTCCCCGGTGTGACTGCCGGAGGGGCAGGACCAGGACGGGAACTGAGCAGGAGGGCACAAACGGAGGCAGCGGGACTTTTTTGTCTTTCTGGGGACTGGTTGCTTATGCAATAGAAATAACAATTTCAGGAACTTTGTCTGCACTACGCTGCCACTCCCCCCACTCATCCGATTCAGTCAGAGAGTGAAATTCTCTGCTCGGTCTGAGGGATCTTGGGGGAGCCCTCTGTACTTTGCCAGGTTCATCGTACCAGAGGGGAAAAAAAAATAAATCTCATCATTTTACTAAAAATAGGGAAGCAACTTCATTTGCAGTTTTTCTGCTTGGGAGACTGACAGCCACCAAAGAGGTCCGACCACATTCATGCTAACACACACAGGTGACACAGCGCGATCTGAAAACCAGCATGCAGCTTTGTTAAGCAAATCTCCGTTGCCCATCATTAGTGAGACTGCAGACCCACGCCGCGTTAAAGAGGTACTTCTCCAATGACGTGACGACAAAACGGAAGCGACTTACTCATAACCTGCAGATTTTAAGGACTTTGAGCGATGCCGTATCGGGCTGGAAGTGACCCAGGTGGTCAGCAAACGCCAGCGTCCACCCCGGTCCCCAGGGATGCTGCAGTTAGAGGGACGGGCGGTGGGGAGCGGGACAGCCCTGCGGCGGGATGGCCATCCCCTCGCCAGGGTGGCTGTGGGCAGCCCTGGGGTCCCACCGGCCCAATTAATGAGCTGCTTTTTGCTCGTTTAGGTGGGAGCAGTGACCGGTGCGTTATCTGCAAATGGGCGTATCAGCCAGGACGGGTGGTTGGGCTGATACAAAGCCCGTATAGATAAGCAGAAACTTTAAAGCCCATCATTATTAAATATTTCCTTTGGAAATGTGTTGAGTCTGGGCTGCAGAAGGCGTCAGACGAGCGTTTCCAGCCAAGTTGGGAACTGGAGTGGTGCAGCTCCAGTGGGTCGGGGACAGCTCTAGCAGGCTACGGCAGTAAGGCGCCACGCTTGCCGTCAGGTCAAAATTAACAAAAAAAAAACCCCAACAACTCCCCCCTCCCAACATCATTAAACAATGACCCCCGCCCCTCCCCTTGACCGACAAGCGGAGGCGGTGGCTCTGGTGCCCACACGCGGTACTTACGGCGATCCCGTGGCCGAAGCCGGAGCCCGGCTGCGGGCTGGCGGCGCTTATGTAGTTACCCACGCCGGAGTCTTGGCTGGCCGTGCCGGAGAGGTCCGCGACGGGCCCTGGGCTGTTGGCCCCGGGGAAGCCTCCGGGTCGGGCTGGGTTGGAGCCTGCCGGGGAAGCGGGTGCGCCAAAATTCGGTTGAGCACTGTAGCTATTCAAGACTGGTGTGCAGAGAATAAAGCTGGGTATGAGGCCAGACGCCGGGCATGCACCGTTATTACAAAGCCAAACACCAGAATAAACAGCCTAGGCCCAACTTCTAACACTTAACCAAGGCCATGCGATAGGAGAGCAAGTACTGGATAAGAGTCAGCCCGTACTACTACGAAGCTTAGAGCTCCAAAAATATATATATGGATATATATAAAAAAAAAAGAACAATCATTCAACACACTACTGCAACCAGAGACTGGAGGTGCTCATTTTCACCAAATTATCACAAAATATAATAGATATTTTTCAACATCTGACTTGATGCTCATGCAGTAGTAACAAGTTCTCTAGGTCTGGGCACGCCGAGACAGCATTCACATCCCATGCAAACTACAAAGGAACTAGTTTGAGACTACACATTGTGGTAATATTGATATTAAAATGTTGACAGCAAATAACTTCAATCGCGTCTAGGAAAATCGTTTTTGGATCCATTCGATACTTTTGAAAAAAAACCCGCCCTTTTGAATCAGTAAGCTGTAGAAATAGTTCAATAGTTGATTTTTTTTTTTCTTTAAATGGTATGGAATGGAACAGTTTGGAATTTTTTTCTTTTTTTAGTATGACCAAGTTGAGTGTTTTTTATTTAGTTTTTTTCCTTTTGATTTGGAGAGCGAAGACCTACCTTCGTCTCCAAAACCATGCTTGGGACATCAACCAAAATTAAACAAATAAATAAAGATCAAAAGCAAAAAAGAATTCCAGAGGGTGTATGACAACTCACCTCCTAATGTGGAAGTAAAAGAAAATTTTATTTTTTTCCTCCCTTTATTTTTTTTTTGAGACAGAAAAACAATGTAAATAAGAATGATACTAAAGAATAAATTTAGATATTAAAGCATGTTAGATGATCAGGCTTCTGGCATTTCTCACAGGTTGCTCTTGGATGTAAAATTTATGAGTAAGAAGTTTCAATGCAAAAGAAAAGTTAGCGGACTAGGAGGAGCTGGATGGAAATGGCTTGCGGGAAGCTGGCGCTACACCCGGGTGGTACTCGCAAGGTCCTTCGGGAGCACACGGAGACTTGCCTGCCCGCACCCACTAGCGTCTCACCGCATCCCCACCGCATCCCCGCTGCCAGCGGGTACCGGCAGCACCGAGGCACACACTGCAAATGGCTAACGGCTGGCCGCCAGCCTCCCGGTGACCGGGGCTGAGCGCGCTGCTCAAGCCCAGCGGTGGTGGCGAACACCGCAGCCTCCCCAGGAGCCCCAGTCGGGCACCGCGGGTACCAGTACGACCGGGCACCCGACCCACGGCACAGCCCATCACCTCCACGTTCGAGCCCGCGCCAAGATTTCTTCAGCCTTTTCCTCTGGCTGCGACTTCCCACGTATCTTCATTAAGCACTAAAAAGGGTTTATAAAGTTTGATAGCCTGCAGTAACCCTCGGCCGCTAGCCCGCAGGTCAGAGCCGCGCTCACCCACCGCAGGGTTTTACTGGGGATGGAGACGAGCCCGGGAGAAAGCCCCGCTCACCCGCCGAGGGCAGCCCCAGGGAAGGCTTCGGCAGCACCTTATGTGGGCTGCGGTGGGCTCAGCCTGGGCTTGCTGCTGGGCCACCACCTCTCCTGCCCTGGCCCCTTCCCCCTGCACCGCCCTCCCGAGATGCGTGTCTCCCCCCCGTTTTCAAATGAATGAATTAACCGGTCCAAAAAAGTCAACCCGGCAGCTGTCGGCTCTGCAATGACAGGAAAGTAAATTTTATAAAATAAACGATTTAATGCAGCTCTGAACCGGTAGCAGGGGAGAGTAAGTAGGACATCTAAGCTAGCAAGTTAAAAGAAATAAGGCATGAGAGAGTAAACAGTTTTTGGAATTCACTGGCAAACAAAGCGCCTTTTTTATTATTAAAGATTAAATGTCAAGATAACATTTGGCCTTCTCACTCACGAAGAAAAATATCCAGCTGAGATGTTCAAAAGCCCTTTATTACTGTAAGCTAGCACTTTTTTTTCCCTTTTCTTCCTTCTGCTTCAATAAAATGGATGTGAGCTTTACTGCCAAGGCACACAGAAAACCCAGTTGGCTGCTCCGAGCAAAGGCAGGAGCGCGGCAGAGGGACACGGTAAGGCGAGGAGGGATCCTGTCAGTAAAATACTCCCAACAAACCCCGTTGGCAGGGCCAGGGGAGCCCATCGCACCCCACCGCCTCGGGGCCAGGGGCAGGGACTGGCCTCGGCCCCGGGCAACTGCCCATGCGATGCCCAGAGCCACCCGCCGTCACATCCGCGGCGGGCAGGAGCAGCGCACGCCATGCGCCGATGGGCCGTGGCGATGCCGTGGCTAACAGGACAGACAGACGCCCACCGTGGCAACCAGAGGGAGAGTTCTGCATCATTGACCCGCAACCACAGAACTATGCACGGGTGACAAGGGGACACGCTTTGCCGCGTCCTGAAACCTTGCAAACGGAGACTGAGGAGCCATGGTGAGAGGCTCTGTGCCCCCATACATCCCACCCCGGCCACTGCCATTTACATCTCTACGAAGACTGGAAACACTGGTTTTCATACCTGCAGAAAGAGCTGGCCACTGGTTATTCAAAAGTCCTTCTGACTGTGAGTATTTAATGTAAGAAAAAGGTGACTTTCTACCCCCTGAGCATCAGCTGACCACTCCACACTGCTCACAGGAGTGCCTGTGGGAAAAGGGGAACACCGAAAGCACGCCTGCCGCTCCATCGCCGGGGACTGCCGTGCGGAGCCCGGGGATGCCCCGGCACCGCTCCGCTCCGCCTGCTCAACAGCTGCCCGGAGCACGCTGTAGAGAGGGCTGGAAGCTTTCACAGAGCTGACACTTTGCTCCCGACCCAATAAATGAAACAGAAAAGCTCTTGTAATTACCAGGAGGCTAAGCACTCCTCAGAAGGCCGTATTTTAACGATTCACTCAGCCATGGTGAGTTGCTAAATATTTGTCTTCTTACAATAGCAGCACATAAGCTCACCTGGAGCCAGAGGCGCTTTTACCATCGCTTTGAAACAACAGCAAAGGGACCTTGAACGACTTTCCCGACGTGCAAAATGTGATGCGTTCTGGTAAGAAATACCTGGAAACAAATTTGTTTTACACAAACCTGGAACAATCTGAGACTAATATGAAGAAGAACCCCTCCCCCCAAAACCCTCCAGGCTCCAGATACTCTTTCAAGTCCTCAAAGAAAATTTAAGATTCCTTGGAGACATGTATCTTTATGACAAAGTTCCTCATGTCGGCTCAGTCGCCGGAGGAGGCAGAAGCTGTCCACGACACACGGCTGCTGCGAGCTGCGGGAATCGCAGAGCACTAAGATTGATGCCTTGCAGGCTGGAAGGAATCTGAGACGTCCCCCCCAGCCACCGACATCCTGCGGTCAGGACGGGAAATAATTAAGGGCAGACGTTCGGAAGCACGTTGCTGAAAAACTGGCAGGCGATTGCGCTGTCCCAGGAGAGGGAACCACTGACCATGTCTTGATGTCAGTCAGTGGGGACCAGGAGCAAAGCTCAACCTAGTGCCTGGTGCCACCAGAGGTACTGGCCAAACTGACCAAGTATCTCCTGACTTTGGTTTGCCGGGAGCACCCATCAGACTGAATCAGCATTGCCTGGGGGTCGGCAGGGCCATCTCCTCCCCTTCCAAAGACCGCCAGCATCCAGGAAGTCAAAGTGCCCGTTTCCAACATGTTCCGAAGGGTTCAGGTCCAATTGACCAACCAATTGCACAGGAAACCATCCTGAACTGGACATTCTCGCAGCTCTGAGGTTGTACCTAAGTGCCTCCAAGTCAAGGCCTTCCCTGCACATAATTTACAATCCCAAGTGTCACCGGGAAGCCCTGTGACAGTTCAAGGTCAGGAGAGATAAAGAAAAGATTACGTGTGTCTGTAAGTCACAGCTAACCAACTTTTATCTTCTTCAGCCGCACAGCAACCCTCTGGGTTACAGAAGCTCCTTCCTAATGCCCACGGAGATCAGGAGACAGCAGCCAAGAGATGGGAACAAGGAATTTAATGTAGTGTTTGCTTCACTTTGAATTTGCTGTGGTTTTTCTTACGGAAAAGACTCTAAGCCTGTGAATTTTATCAGTAAGTGAACGTTTGCCTGCAGGCCAGATGGACAGTCTCTACCTGCTCTACCCTGCCCAGCGCCGTGGTGGCTTGGGGAGCACTGAAAGCAGCAAGGGAAAGTGAGATGGGGCACAAGATATTGAAGCAAATGTGGGTTCATTAAGCAGCCCCAGAATAGGCTTTTTTAAAATGCAAAGTGTCCACGATGGTGGAGTTGGGAGAGTCAAAACAATCATCGGTACTGTCTCCATCTTCCAGAGGTGGTGGGAAGAGACAAAGAAATGCCATTGCTGACAGGGCTGGAAACGGATAAAAGGACCTTTGACTCGGTGCCTTGCCACAAACCACTGCCGGTGTTTAGTATTTACAGCGGTCAGGTTTTACTATGGCAAAACCCAGGTACTGCTCTGCTGCAGCATGCGCCCGCGCACGGGGTCTTGTCTCAGGGACATGTTTGGTGCAATCATGCATGTTTGCTGCACCCTCTCCTCTGCTCAAGCTGCATCTCCTCAACAGAGAACCTACTGAAAGTCTTTCTGCTAAAATAATTGTGAATTTGGAGAGAATTTTAAAATGCATCCATAACCTCAAGACAGAGCTTCAGCGAGCAAGGCTATTTTATTACTACCTCATCTCGGCATCCTTTAGCAGAGCCGTCTTTATCCACATTTAACATATGTGTAAGACGCTTCTCAACGCAACGTTCAGACAACAAGTGATTTATATCAAGAGGCCGAGAGCTGGAGCCCCAAAGGCAGCCGGCAGCCTGGGTTCATGCAGAGGCAGGAGGCTCAGTGCTACAAAACGCTCCGCTGGGAGCAGGGATGGAGCTCGCTGGAGCTCCCTTATCAAGTGCCTTCTCCTGCAAACTGCCGTGTTAACACAGACCCTGCTCATA